GCACTATTCTGGGCAGTGTGCTGAAATGTCGAGCCGTCCTGCTCTGTGTGACCCCGGACGGGAAGCCTCCCTTTGTCCAGCATATCCACGCGGTATGACTCCCGCCCGTTTAGCCACGCAGCAGCCATCTCACTTACCAGATCAGCTGTCTTGGTATCAGGGTGTTTGTGTTCAGGTAACCCTTCCCTTGCTTAATAATGGACCCAAAGCCAAGAGCAGTGATGCTGGCATTCTGGGTTTATTTTATTAGTATTGTTGTAAGTCTCTTACTTTGCTTAATTTATAAATTAAACATGATCATAAGTACGTATCTGTAGGGAAAAGATGGTATATATAGGGTTCTGAACTCTCCTGTGTTTCAGGTATCCACCGTGGGTCTGGAAATGTATCCCCTGTGGAGAAGGGATGACTACTGTGTATGTAAAAATCACACTGTGTGAAATGTTATATCCTCCCCTTTCCTCAGTTTAACGTTGTTTTGAAAGAATTTTCTCACATTACTTGAAAACACTTAGGAAACCATTTTTAGTGACTGTAGTGTTTTACCAGATAGATACGCCATGGTTTACTTAACTATGTTCCTAATGATGGGTGCTTATATTGGATCTAAGTTTTGCTGTTATTTGTAGTGCTCCAATGGGTGACTCTGTGCACAAACCCTTGCCTGTACTTTTGTGTATTTCTCTGAGGATAGATTGGTGCAAAAAAAGAACCGCTGAGTGTGAGACGCTAAATATTTGGAAGGCTTTCAGTCTGTTTCCATATTGCTTTCCTGAAAGATTGAACCAGTTTATACTTTGTAAGCAACGGTGTGTGAGAAGATCTCTTTACTTTCCTTAACATTGGCCTTTGTCATTTCTTAAACTTTACTGGTTATTTTGGTAACCAGCTTGTTTTTATAATTTGAATTTCTTTGCTTCTCAGTGAAATAATAGTTTCTTTTATATGAGTATTAACCATTTGTTAAGAACCACTATTTGAGTCCGAAAGAATGGTATATAAGAAGAAAACTGCACAATTCCAGTAGGAAGGACTTGGGGTCAGGGTCCCTAATGTGTTGGAAGGTTGAACTTTTTGTTGGTGGTGTTTCCCCTTGCCTTAAAAAGTCCATGTTGCTTGAATGTTGCAATCTTGGGCAAGGCCAGCAATTAATCTCAGGGACGATGCCACTTTCTTCTCCTGGTGCTGGTCCTTTCTGACAAGAGAGAACATGGTGTTAGGGCTGAGTGCTTGAATGCTTGCACATACGACCTAGAAGGTGCAGATATAACTGGGGGTTCATTCCTTGAGTGATATCTTTGTGAGATGACATTTTGCTTGTTGTTTGTGTGTTTTATAATGAGGAATCAAAGTGGGTATTCTAGGAAGATCCAGTGTTTCCCTACTCTCACTTTGCATTACACACAATCCGGAGGGTGACTCAGAATCCAGTGCTGTCCTGCCTCTCCCAGTTAGCTGACACCATTTGCTTGACTAGAGCCTTAGTTTTCTAGGCATATATTCTAATGATGGAACATTTTGAAATGCAGTTTATTTTTGAGTTTATTGAATTTTTTTAATAACACATCTGCTGCCCCTAAATTGTCATCTTTTATATTATAAGGTCTAGTTGCATTAGAAATAGCTCTCCCAACCCCACTCCCCCAGTGCTCAGAACACTGAACCCCATACTACACTTGGAAAAGGATTGGATGTCCTAAAGCATTGGTTATGTAATTGTGGGTTGGCTTTCACCCACTGAGCTTTACTTCCTCCTGTGATAGTGAAATACAAGCTGGCAACAGTAATTAGATCTCAGAAAAGCTTGTCACAAAGCACCACAGACTGGAGAAACTTGTAAGCTCTCTTTGCACTGGCTGAAGTTTTTGAGTACCACTACCTTCCATCTGTAGAGTGTAGTAACCTTAGACAGGTAGTGCTTTTCTTCTGTGCATTAATTTTAATTAAGCAATGACACCTACTTTCTTTTCCACTCTGAGATCTGCATGTAGCTAAACTGATCAGGTGAGTGCTTTCCCACCTTTGAACATTGATACTGCTTGGAATATACTGGAAAAAGAGCAGCAAGCAGAAAATCTCCCGTTTCCACAAGCTGCTGACTAACCCAGAATTGCTAGATTTTGTGAAGCAAATGAATGCTATAAAAGAAGTCAAAAAAATCGGGGAAGATGTCCCTAGGACATGGTCAGGCCAAACCTTGAAAGATCAAGTGGTGTTACAGAGGTACAATTATAAGAATATATATAACTCAAGACTTACATGTGTGTTAAACAGTGCATTGCTCTTTGCAGTCTACGAAGGATTTTCTTTTGAATTCTCACAACAATTCGCAGAGAGAGGTAGTGAGAGGTTTAATGCTTTGTTCGACATAATTTGCTGTTAAATAGCCATCCATTGGCAGAAAATTTGAACTGTTGTGTTTTCTTTCCTGTGTCATTCATGGTTTCAGTCCTGAAGAGAAGCCCACTAGAGCCCAGCAGGAGAGGAGAGTGGGAGAATCCCTCACCCAAAAGTTCTCATTGGCATCATTTAGTGACACTCAGGATGTCTCCAGTTATTGTTAGAATTTAAAATTAGGTTCTCATCCTGGCTAACATGGTGAAACCCCGTCTCTACTAAAAATACAAAAAACTAGCCGGGCGTGGTGGCGGGCGCCTGTAGTCCCAGCTACTCGGAGGCTGAGGCGGGAGAATGGCGTGAACCCGGGAGGCGGAGCTTGCAGTGAGCCGAGATCGCGCCACTGCACTCCAGCCTGGGCGACACAGCGAGACTCCGTCTCAAAAAAAAAAAAAAAAAAAAAAAAAAAATTAGGTTCATCCCTGTGAGGTCCAAGAAAATATAAAAATAAAATAATTGTCTACCAGTATTAAACATACTCAGTAATCACTTTTGAAAGGAAAAGAGTTAGTGGAAAAAATGGAAGAACCACAGCAAAACTAAAATAAGTATATAGAGATATATTGCCAGACACGGTGGCTCACACCTGTAATCTCAGCACTTTGGGAAGCTGAGGCAGCCGGATCACTTGAGGTCAGGAGTTCAAGACCAGCCTGGCCAACATGGTAAAACCCCGTCTCTACTAAAAATACAAACATTAGGCCGGGTGCCGTGGCTCACATCTATAATCCCAGCAGTTTGGGAGGCTGAGGTGGGCAGATCACCTGAGGTCAGGAGTTCAAGACCAGCCTGGCCAACATAGTGAAACCCCATCTCTACTAAAACTACCAACATTAGGCTGGGTGCAGTGGCTCATGCCTGTAATGCCAGCAGTTTAGGAGGCCGAGGTGGGCAGGTGACCTGAGATCAGGAGTTCGAGAACAGCTTGGCCAACATGGTGAAACCCCATCTCTACTAAAAATACAAAATTTAGCCGGGCATGGTGGCCCATGCCTGTAGTCCCAGCTACAGGGAGGTTGAGGCAGGAGAATCGCTTGAACCCAGAAGACGGAGGTTGCAGTGATCCATGGTTGTGCCACTACACGCCAGCCTGGGTGACACAGCAAGACTCCGTCTCAAAAAAAAAAAAAAATATATATATATATATATATACACACACAGACATACATATACACACCAACATTAACCGGGCATGGTGTCGTGTGCCAGTAATCCCAGCTACTTGGGAGGCTGAGGCAGGAGAATCGCTTGAACCCAGGAGGCGGAGGTACTGCACTGCAGCCTGGGTGACAGAGCAAGATTCCATCTCAAACAATATAGATAGACACACAATGTTAGATAACTGCATAATTATTATATGTGTGTATTAATATATAAAGCAATCACTTTCAGAAGGAATAGTATGTTAAAAAAAGGTAATGAAAGATTTTAAAACAAAACACTTCATGAGACAAGAAGTTAGAACAATTACGACAAACTAAAAGAAAAAGCTGGGAATGAGATCGAATGCAGCCAAGTATTTCCTGCAGTTTTAAAACCTCTACTCCCCATTTTTGGTTTCTGGCCACAGATTATGTAATATTTTTCATTACTTGAACTGGAATTACAAAGATTGATACAGAAGGTGGTCTGATAAGTCGACTGGGTCCTGCTCCTTGTATGTCTTAGGTCCAAACCAAAATGAGTCAATATTTGCACAAGATATCAGCCATGCAGGGCTTATAGGCAGGTAAAGGAGATGGCCCATTATTACAGGGATTTCAAACCAGGCTTAGTATTCTCTTACCCTGGCACTGCCAATTATATTTATTTATTGGAAAATGATAACCTTAGAGTTAAGCTATATGCCAACAAAAGAGGCACTGCTTATATGAGTTCTATCATGTCCAGGTTTACATTGCCCATTAGAAAACAGAGCACCTGACCTGGTGCAGCAACTCATGTCTGTAATCCCAGCACTTTGGGAGGCCAAGGAGGGAGGATCGCTTGAGCCCAGGAGGTCAAGGCAGCATGAGCTGTGTTAACACCACTGCATTAGACCCTGTCTCCAAAAAAAAAAAAAAAAAGTGGGGCGGGTGTGGCGAGAGAGAGGAGGGGAGGGGAGAGGACACCTGATCAGACTCCTCTGAAGAGGGACTTGAAAAGTTTGTCACAAGCCCTGAGTTATTCTGATGGAACAGAGAATTGTTAGATCACAGAATGCAAAGTAACCTACTGCGTTTAGCCCTTCAGTCTTTGGCCTAGCTGTAGGCCATTAAGTTGAATAGTGCTGGGAATCGTTAAGAATATAATGGTCAAAAAGGACAGGCAAAGTTGTTTCCCTTCTGGAACTTACACTTTAATGGGGGAGATAGACGATAAGCAAGTAAAAGTAATTGAACAAGGCAATTGCAAATGCCACCCTCAGTGAGCTCTTGAAAGACAAATTATTTCACCTGCATGCCACAAATACACAGGTGAATGTCTGTGCCTTGAGAAATGCATAAAAGTGACTGAACTTTTGAGGTCCACTGACTGGGCTTTTGTTTGATATTTACTGCTAGTGAATTTTCCAGTCTGCAAATGTCTTAGAACTTCTAAATACATTTTTTTTTTTCGTTTAGGTTGCAGAGAACACATCTTAGAAGATGAAAAACCTGAATCTATCAGTGACACTACTGACTTGGCTCTACCACCTGAAATGCCGATTTTGATTGATTTCCATGCTCTGAAAGACATCCTTGGGCCCCCGATGTATGAAATGGAGGTGATCAATTTCTTTTTTTTTTTCTTTGCTTTTTGCTCCAGTCAATGAAAGGAACACTTTATTGAGGCCCCAGGGCCATAGGGCCTGGGCAGGAGGCTGCCCTTTGGGGAAGGAAGAGCCTTATTTGACCTTTTTGGTACGTAGGTTGTTGGTGTGGCCACACTTCTTGCAATAGTTGACAGCATGGGGGCGCAGGCAAGCACAGCTCTTGTGGCAGATCATCTTGTCACAGTTGTATTTCTGGGCAAGGTGGCAGAGGGAAGGCTCCGTAATGCCACCTCGCAGGCGCAGCATCAGGTGCTGCAGGGTGGACTCTTTCTGGATGTTGTAGTCTGAGAGAGTGCGGCCATCCTCCAGCTATTTGCCCTCAAATTATCAGACACTGCTGGTCAGGTAGGATGCCCTACTTGTCTTGAATTTTGGCTTTGGCATTCTCAGTGGCGTCACTTGGCTCAACCTCAAGGGCGATGGTCTTGCCTGTGAGGGTCTTCACAAAGATCCACATCTCAGCGTCTGCGGCTCGGCGAGTCTCGCTCCATTCTCCTTTTTTTCATTGGTACTCACTGATTCTCTCAGGTGGTTGCTTAACAGAGAAGTAGAATTGGGTGTTTCCAGAGGCTGAATTTTGCCTTAAGATAGAAACTTTATTTCTGTATGGTATTGCGTTTTAGTGCTTAATGTGATAATATGACTGTTGCCAGGAGCCAGAGATCCCAGCCATATCCTCTTTTAGAACCCCAGTCTCATTTTATTCTCTACCATTCAGTTCCTTTTTAAGAACAATGCCTCTGACTCTTCTCCTTAGAAAAATTCCATATTCTTATGTATACTTTAATGAGGGATTTCTTTGTGCTGCTATCAAGGGCTTGAGGGAAGAGGCAGAGAATCAACCTGATACAGGTGTGGAAACATGAGCATAGCTTAGCTTCAGACTGTGCTAGTGCAGACCCACATGACATCTTTCAGGAACCTATTGTCCCATTGTTAATAGTTCCTTTAGGGTTAAACCCACATGCAGGTCTAGCCCTGTTTTCATCTTTCTCTCCTAACTATACCTCACAGCAGAAGGCCTGAGCGCCAAGACTGAGTTGAGGCAACTGATGGAAATAGATGTTAGAATATAACTGCGAAGGGTGTTGTGAAATAATTTATAGGGTGCTTAGATGAGCCTTCATAGGTTGGTTACTATAAAAATGTTTGTATTATACTACTGAATTTGGCTTTATCATCACCTCCTTATCAGTTTAAGGAAAAAATATTTTCAGAAAATAAATCTGATAAATTATGCAGAAGATAATCTCTCCATCTAACATTTGTAATCATTACCAGTAGATAGGTTTTCCTCAAGTTCTTAAACTGAGTTGATGAGAAATAGCCCCCAAGCCTGTCTTGTTTATCCATTTAAACTCTAAGCTGGTCATTAAAGCTAATGAGCCTCTCTCAGAGCTCTCAGTTACAAGAATAGAACTTGTTTACTCTTGACAGTAAATCTGGACTCGAACAATAGAATCAGAAGCATTGTTTTGATTATTTGAATTCTTAAGATATCATGGATTTGAATTTTGAAGTGTTGAAAGAACTTGAGCAAAACATTGTTGATTGAGAAAGTAAACAAAACCCGCTTTCTCGTTCTGGGAGGATCCAGTGACTTTGAGAGTGAAGACACAAACAGGTTTTGACTCCTGCATGGCCGATGGCCTTTTTCTCTAGGCTTCCAGAAAACTACATTCCAACAGTTCTTTGAGGATTTAAACTAGAGCAGCAAATAAAGACAAAAGATTAATGCATGTCTCTGTTGCATATACCCCTCTCGCCCAGCCATTTCTGCTGATGTTAAGTTTGGGAGCATTGCTGACATTCCTGGAGCATTAGCAAAGAAAGAGCCAAGAGAACAGAAATGAGAAATTTTATAAACATTGCTTACCAGCTCTCATTGTTAGCATCAGAGAACCTTATTTTCCTTGTAGCATGTGAGCTTTACGTAGTAGCACTTTTACCAAGGAGAGTCTGCAGAAAGACTCCAGTAGCCATTTTGTCTTTTATTAATAGCATCTTAGAATGGAAGATGTGGTGTGTCACATGCGTCCATGTGAAGAGCCCACCAACCAGGCTTTGTGTGAGCAACAAGGCTGTTTATTTCACCTGGGTGCAGGCGGGCTGAGTCCGAAAAGAGGCAGCGAAGGGAGATAGGGGTGGGGTTGTTTTATAGGATTTGGGTGAGTAGTGGAAAATTACATTCAAAGGGGGTTGTTCTCTTGCTGGCAGGGGCAGGGGTCACAAGGTACTCAGTTGGGGAGCTTCTGAGCCAGGAGAAGGAATTTCACAAGGTTAATCGCTCAGTTAAGGTGGGGCAGGAACAGATCACAATGGTGGAATGTCATCAGTTAAGGCAGGAACCAACCATTTTCACTTCTTTTGTGATTCTTCACTTGCTCCAGGCCATCTGGATGTATACGTGCAGATCACAGGGGATATGATGGCTTAACTTGGGCTCAGAGGCCTGACATGGTGTTTGAGTGTTGGGAACATTGTGTTCATTTTTTTCATGCTTGAAAGTGAGAACTCACCCTGTAGCCTGGGGTCTGTCTCTACCTGGGGTCTCATGACCACCAGCCCCAAATTACTTAACCACACAGTCTACCTCTGCTTTTGTGTCTATAAAATTAAGACTTATAGAACATTTCTTTCTTGCCCATGAGGGCTGTCACTGTGCTAGGAGTATAATTCCATTTTACATACAAGGGAAAAGTTTAAAGAGATTAAATGAGTTGTACAAATTCACATAAAGTGCAGTTGGTAGAGTTGGAATTCAGACTCAGATCAGCTTATTCCAAGTCCATTATTCTTTCTCCCCTTCTACAGCACCCTGTCAGGTCAAGATAATTCCTGCCCTTGGCTGCTAGAAGAGAGTGGCAGTGATATATTAGAGTTTTTTAAAAAGGCATCTGCTCTACATCAGATTCTCATTCATATTCTTACCAACTCTAGTGCTCTGCTTTGGAATAGGAGAGGCTGGGCTCAACTTGTTGACCACTACCATTTTTGTATCTCTTGGCTGTCAGGCACTGTGCAAGGCCCTCCACAAGTGATGATTTAATCCTCGGTCGTGGTTGTCTTTCCAGTAACAGTTGAGGAAACAGGCTTAGAGTATTTAAATAACTCGAGAGAAGACACAACTTATGCCAGAAATGAGATTTGGTTCTAGGCCTGACCAACTCCAAACCTAGTGCTCTATTACTCTAGAAAAACGTCACAGGCAACCTGAGCAGGGCCTCTGTTCTTTGCAGAGAGCTCACAGGTGGACCTGAGCAGGGCCTCTGTTCTTTGCGCTTCACAAGTGGCCAGTCTTATTTCTCTATTTCTTTGTGCTTTCCTAGGCAAAGAATCTGAAGAGAGAGGTTATACTAGGAATATTGGAATACATGTTGAGGTGTTCGCAAGATGTTACAAGATACCTTTCGTTTGTTTGTTTTTACTTTTTATTTTTTGAGATGAGGTCTCACTCTGTCACCTAGGCTGGAGTGCAGTGGCATGATCATAGCTCACTGCAACCTCCAGCTCCTGGGCTCAAGCTATTCTCCCACCTCAGCCTCCTGAGTAGCTGGGACCACAGGCGTGTGCTACCATACCCAGCTAATTTTTTCTGTATTTTTTTGTAGAGATGGGGTTTCACCATGTTGTCCTATACTGGTGTCAAACTCCTGAGCTCAAGCCATCCACCTGCCTCAGCCTCCCAAAGTGCTGGAATTACAGGCATGAGCCACCAAACCCAGCCGATACCTTTTTTTGTCTAAATGCCTATATTCTCCCTTAGGGTAAATTACAGTCTAGGGTCTGTGGTTTCTTCTAGAAAGAGTTTCATTCATTTAATAAATACCTATTAAGGACCTAACATGTGCTTCTGGCAATACAGTAGTAAATAAGCAAAGTATGATGTCTGCCTTCATGGATCCCACTTTAGTGCAGGAAAAAACATCGACAGGTAAACAAATAATCACAAATTGAAGTTGATGCTATAGAGAAAACAAACGGTGGTACTGAGATAGACAGTAACTACTCTAGCTATATCTGAGGTCTGTTTTAGAGGCAGAAGTAGACATGCTGATGGGAAACAATTGGGGAATGAAGGAAAGTTATCAAAAGGGACTTATGGGTTTCTGGCCAGAGTGACAGGGTATGTGTGTAGTAGTGCCGTTTACTGAGATGGGGAAGACTGGGGGAGGGAGATGGGGAGGGAGTGTTGCAAAGAAAACTGGGGGCTCTTTTGAACACATTAAGGTTGAAATATCCAGGCCAGGCGTGGTGGCTCATGCCTGTAATCCCAGCACTTTGGGAGGCTGAGGCAGGTGGATTGCTTGAGTCCTGGAGTTCAAGACCAGCCTGGGCAACATGGCAAAATCCCTTCTCTACAAAAAATACAAAAATTAGCTGGGTGTGGTAGCTCACGCCTGTAGTCACAACTACTTGGGAGGCTGAGATGGGAGGATCACTTGAGCCTGGGAGACAGAGGATGCAGTGAGCCAAGATCACACCACTGCACTCCAGCCTGAGCGACAGAACAAGACCCTGTCTCAAAAAAATAAAATAAAAGTTTGAAATATTGGCGAGGCATAGAAGTAGAGATATTTGGACATTCAGATCTATGGCTCCGAGGAAAAACCCAAGATGGAGATATAGATTATAGGGTTATCAGAAAGTAGAGGATATTTAGAGCCCCAGAAATTGAGGCTTTGACATCACCTAAGAAAAAAGGAGACATAAGAAAGCAGGTAGCCTAGAAGCAAGCCCTGAAGTACAGCATTATTTAGGGATCATATAGAGAGAAGTGGAGCCAACAAAGAAGTCAGGAAAAACAGAAAGGGACTGGGAAGGAACAAGCCTTCAGGGAAGAGGAAAACCAGGATGTTGTGCTGCCGTAGAGACAGAAGAGGAGAATATTTCCAGAAAGAAGGGACATCAGAATGTGTTTACTGTTTGAGAGATCAAAGAAGATCAAGGTC